CGTCTCCCCAGGAGGACCACACAGAGACCAGCAGCTGTGCTACCTGCCTGAGCCTCCGTTTTCGTCTTCTGTCAAAAGGGGATGCAACAGACTGCAGTCAGAGGATGATTCTGAGGGTTAACACACATAGGAAATACACATTAGCATGTCTTAGGATAGCCAGAGGCTGCTTCCACTGCAGAGTCAGGGGGTCAGAGCTGAGCTGTTTGCAGGGGTAAGCCCACATGCAAGAGTGGGATGGCCCTTTCCAGTGGTCCAGGCATAGGGGCTAGCCTGTGGAGAGGTCCACTGGGGCTGGCTGCTACCTCCCTCACTTGACCCTGGTGACCACCTCAAAGTAAGAGAGGGGCATCTCACCTGGCATCAAACCAGTATTGTATTCACACGGCAGTCACTTACAGATAGCCTCCTTCACCAGGGTATGTTGTAGACACAGTTCTAGGATTCAGACTACCCCTTTTCTGGCAGACTCTCTGCCTGTAGCGCAGGGGCAGAAGAGAAACAAGGATTGGTCATTACAGTCATGTGAGGCTATCTGAGGAGACCCACTGGGGCTCTGGGGGCATGTGGAGTGGGGGAGCATTGGGCATTGGGCCAGCTTCCCAAAGGAAGAGATACTTGGAATGAGGCCATAGTAGGAGTGGAAATGGCCAGTGACATAGGGTGGGAGAGAAGTGAGTTCCAAGGCAGGGAGGGTGCAGGACGTGAAGGAGCGCGAGGCCAGGAAGAACCCAGAAAAGGGCCAGGTGCGGTGGCGCACGCCTGTAATCCCAGCACTTTGGGAGGCCAAGGTGGGCGGATCACGAGGTCAAGAGATCGAGACCATCCTGGCCAACATGGTGAAACCCCGTCTCTACTAAAAATACAAAAAGTAGCTGGGCATGGTGGCACGTGCCTGTGGTCCCAGCTACTTGGGAGGCTGAGGCTGAAGAATTGCTTGAACCCAGGAGGTGGAGGTTGCAGTGAGCCGAAATTGCGCCACTGCACTCCAGCCTGGCGACAGAGCAAGACTCGGTCTCAAAAAAAAAAGAAACCAGAGAAGACCAGTGTGGCTGGTGCCAGTGCCCATGCACAGATGCCAGCTAGGGACAGTAGATTGGGGATGTTGGCCTAAGAACCACTAGAGAGTTTTAACTTTAGTATTTTAAGTTTGAGAAAGAAGAGAAGTTTTTGTTTTCTATTTACAGTAGGCATGCTCCCACAGACAATGTGAGTTGTCCTATAATCAAATAACAAAAACATCAGTTAGTCCATAGGAAATGGGAGTGAGCACAGAAATCAGTCTGTGAGGCCAAGTTCAGTGTAGGGTCCGCTGTGGCTGTGAGACGGCAGGGAGACCAAGAGCATGTTGGGAGACAGTGGCGGGGCATTATCAGGGCCCAGGGAGATGAGAGAAGGGGAGAGGGCGGGGACCACTGGAGGAAGAGGTGATGCTTACCAAGAAGATGGAGGAGCAGTTGGAGAGGTGATCAGGAACCACAGAATGGAGAGCAGCAGAGCCACAGGAAGAGAAGGAAGAAGCTGTTAATCATGCTCGCAGCTACTGGGAAGCCGAGAAAGCTGAGAACAGAGAAGCACCCCTTGGAGCAAAGGCAGGCCCAGTGGGCATCAGTGGGCCATGAGTTCAGGGCACAGGGACACGAAAGGCTGAAGCTGGACAGGTGGGTCACCTGTGGCAAGGCGGGCCCCAGATGCCATATGTGGATGTGCAGTCCCCTGGCAGGAAAGGAAGGGTGTGGCTGTGACCAGCACCTGGGTGCAGATACCGTCCTGAGCCCCCATTGGCTGGGAGACAATAGCTGGGGCTTTGTAGTAGCCAGAGGAAGGGGGCCATGGTGACAGCCCACTCAGCACTTCCCCAACCCAGCAAGCACAGCTGGCTGAGGAGTGGCCCCTCAACATGGTATCAGTGCCAGCACCCACCCCCACAGCCTGCCACAAAGCAAATGACCCAACCCCCATCACTGGAGCTCCATGCCGTAGGCATTCGTGACCCTTTAATCGCAATAGATCTCTTTGACTCATCAAGCACTGAACTCCTACATATCAGCCAGGCCAGCCCAAACACACACCTTTGTTCCCCTGCTGTTCTGGACTCTCCTCCACCTCCATGAGACCCAGCTTCCCTGGGGCCTCTGTTTGTGCACCTCCAGAGCCCCTAGGACCTTGGAATTCCTGGTCTACACGCATGTCAACCTGTTCTATAATGACCTGTCCCCAGCTGACTCTTCCACTAGTTTTCCCACTTCCCGGGGGTGGGGTGGGCATGTGTTGCTTGTCTCTAAACCATGGATGGCCCAGAGCCTGGCCTGCTCTGGTGCCACCCCATCCTGGCTGGTTTTCTGTGCCCCACCTGTTCTACCACCCCCGCAACTACCCCCACCCCCAGCTAACTCTCAGGCTGCCGCCCAATTGGGTGGGTTTCCCAGATTGTTTCCCTGGGGTCTGCGTGCCCCACCCCCATTTGAGCAAACCATCGCAGATCTGGGTTAGTTATAAATAGCCAGGCCCGAGACTCTTCTTTTAGCTGAAAAGAAGCAAAGTGAACGAGCAGAAAGGCACACCCGGCACGCGTTTTATTTTTAATCTTCTCCCTCTGTCTCGAAACGAACCCCAGTCCCCATGCTGAGCATTTCTAGGAGCAGAAGTCCAAGACAAATGACTGAGAAAACCCAAGGAGCTGAGGGCCCTGCTTGGCTTTGCCACCATCTGCTGTGTGACCTTGGGTATTCAAGTTGCCTCTCTGACCCTCACTTTCCTCATCAAGGAGAGGTGGGCAATGGAGGTGATCACCTTGAATGTTGACTTTTCTGACCTCAGCTCTCTATCCCTCCCCCAGCTGTGCCCCCCACTCAGCCAGCAGCTCCAGCAGCGACACCTGTCCCAGGGATTTCCTGGGAAGCTCAGATAGTTGCAAATGAGGCCACAGTCTAGCCCTGATTTGAAAATTAACAACTTCCTCACCCCCAGGTCTTTGCTCAGGTGTCCCTGTCCCAGAACCTTGACCATCCATCTGCCAGCAAAATTCGGAGAAGGTCAAATTGTCACCTCCCTGCTGTGAGCTGGAAGAGGGCGGTCCAGGTCACCACTAGTTGGCTTCATAGCCAGGAATGGGTAGGGAGACCAAGGGCAGAACCTGAGGGGGAAGCAGAGTGGGAGCAGGAGGCCGGGTATGTGGCCTGGGCAAAGCAGGAAGCTGAGCGAGAGAAAGGATCCGACCCCTAGGAGAGGCGGTGGGGGCTCTGCACTGACAGGCTTTGCGGGGTTCGAACTGTGCAGCATTTGTCTTGTATCCCACCCCTCAACCCCCTGCAGGCCCTTGCTTGTAGCTGGGACTCAGTGTTGGTGAAATTCAGGAGATTCTTGCCACCCTAGGCCCACATGTTCTGGGCACACAGGGACAGACCCTTGTATGGATGAGGAAATCCATGGCATGTGGAACACATTTTCATCCATAACCCCCTGCCAGGTAGGCTCATTTAAGTGATAAGCAAACTAGGCTCAGAGAGGTTAAGTAACTCATCCACAGTCACACAGCTTGGAAAGGATATGTTTAGAATAAGACCTAGGCTTTTTTTGAAATCTGTGTGTGTTAAATAAAAAAGCCCAACACACTAGAAGTAACAGGAACCCGCTTTTCCTGGGGAATCGGAGCCCAGGGAACAAATGAGGCAGAGCTAGCTGCTCCATCTGACAACCCAGTGAGAAGCTGGCCAGGGGCACTGGGAGCCACCGGACACCAGGGGACCTGGGGGATGAGGCACTGGGAGCTGCTGGACATTATGAGACATGGGGGGTAGTAAGAGCCACTCAGCACCCTGCTCCGCCTCTCTACACCATCACCCTGGGCACCTGCCGTTTGATGTCCTCAGGGAGTGAGGGAAGAAGACTGGGGTGATGTCTTCAAAGAGGAAGTCCCTGGTACTAATTGGCACTTGGAGACCTTTAGGCTAATTAACCTGTTTATTTCTCTCTCTAGAGTAAATGTAAATTGGAGGGTTTAGCTGGGGAGGGTGGAAGAAAGAGGTGTCTGCTGGTGGCCACCTTCCTAGAGCCTGTAGATGGCTTTGCAGTGGGCAGTGGGCTGCAGGGAGTCTGGGGAGAGGCCCGGCTGTAGGGCAGTGGTGAGGGCAGCCATGTGCTATAGGGAAGGGCACTCTGCACACATTCTCTGTGCTCCTTATCTCAGAGACTCAGGAGGGCTGTTCTGCCCACTGTCCTGGGCTCCTTGGGATGCCACTTGTGCCTGGGTTCTGGGTTCTCTAGGCAGCCGCTTGCTGACATTTCTCAGGAGGGAAGGGAGGAGTCAGGTGGGGCTTGTTTATGGGAGAGTCCTGCCTTACTGTGCTGCTTCTAGTACCTGCACCCCAGCTGTGACATGTGGAGCCCCCTTCCCACAGAGCCCCAGGTCCCTTCAAGACTCCTTGGCCAGAGCCCCTGGCTTCCCAACACCTTTAGTTGGGGCACAGCTCCTTTTTGTGTGTGAGACACTCTAGGTGTCCGTCTCAGAGTCGAACTCAAGCTCGTCTCAAGGTCCAGTCAGACTAGTGTGGGGTCTCCAGCAGCTTCGAAATATTTTGGTGGATGGGAAGAGGGTGCTTGGCTGGCTCCCCAACTCTGGGGCAGGGGGAGGGAAGAGTGGAGGTCTCCTGGTTTGCCTGGGCCCCACAGGAGTGAGCTGCCGGCTCTCTGAGGGGTGCCTGCTGCCTCTTGGGCCGCTGTGTGCCTGCCCTGGGGGATGCCCCCTGAGACACTGGTGACCAAAGACTGGCCTTCCTGGATCCTCTGCGCCTCCACCCTCAGGCCCTGATGTGGCTGTCACTGCAGCCACCTGACCCCTGGCCAGGCGGGACGTGTGTGTGTGTGTGTGTGTGGCACTTGCAAGTCCTTTTGTCAAACCCACTCACTGGCTCTGCAAGACCCTCCCTGAGCCCTGTAGGCCAACTGGCATGGGTGGGTGGATGGCTAGCCTGCCCTCAGCATCCTTTCCTGTCCTGTAGGGGCTGAAGAGATCATCAGCAAAGGTCTGATCTTCCCGCTGGTACGGAAGCTGCAGGGGGAAGCGGAGGAGGAGTTCCAGGAGCTCATCCTAGACACTCTGGTCCTCTGCCTGCGGGAAGATGCCACCGAGGCGCTGAACAGCAACGTGGTGCCCATCCTGAAGCAGAAGCTCATCAGCACCAATGAGAACATCCGAAGCAAGGCTGCCCGTGCGCTCCTTAATGTCAGGTGAGGCCTGGCCTAAGCTGGGTTTCTGCCAAGGCTGGGAAAAAGCACTGGAGCTGGGCTGTTCCAGGGCTCAAGGGTGGCCACCCTGGGCCTGCTTCCTCTTGCCTGCTTGTGGCTGGGGGCAGGAAGGAGCTGGGAGGGAGGATGACCTCCCCCCCTAGGGTGACTACCATCCTGTTGACCTGGGAGGGTCCTGTGTCCCAGGAAACCTCTCAGCCTAGACAAAGCCAGATGATTGGGCACTCCCTCCCCATGAGGAAGGCCAGGACAGGAGAAGCACTGGTGATGATCATGACACCCAGTGGTCACTGAGTGGCTCCTTTGTGCCAGGCATTGTCTGCAAACCTCACATTTAGGCAACCCTCCAGGGAGGCGATGTCTCCCTTCACAGGTGAGGGAACGGAGGCAGGGTCTTGTCTCTCACCCCAGGTCACACAGGATCATGGTCCACCTCCTGGCCTGTAAACTGAACACAAAGCCTCAAAGCTGCAGGGGCGGGGTGCAGTATGTGTTCCCACACTGGGCCCCTCTTCATGACGACGGGCTGGCCACTGATTGCTGGAGTCCCTGCCTTAGCTGTGACTATGTCTCTTTAGTGGCGGCCTCTTGCCTTCCCTAAATCCTGGCTACTCTTCTTCTGAGAGTCTCTCTAGAGGCCCAGGCCATTATTTCTGCAAGTGTGGCCCTCACCCTGACCCCCAGGAGGTCTGTGAAAATGCAGATTCCCAGGCTCCATCCCAGCCCCATCATTCTTAGGTCTGCTCAGAGGTCCCCTTTCTGTGGAACCAAGAGAGTAGCTTTCCAGGAGAAAGCTCTCTGTCTGAAACTGCAACCTCCCCGCCATCCCCGTCCTTCTTTGTCCACTGTGACCACCATCCCTGCTGTTACTTTGTGTGTCATCCCTAAGGGGAGCTCCTGAGGATAGGGCTTTCCTCTGTTTGCTGCTCTAGACCCAGGGTTTGCAGTGGGGGAGCTTTGGCCCCCGGTTGAGAATTATCTGGCCCAAAAGAGCACTGAGCTGGAGAAACCCAGCTTGGCTGTGTGAATGAATCGGGGAATCCCTGCATGTGGGGCCCAGGACTCTGCATCTTTGATCATGGGCTTCAGGGTTGAGGCCCACTGTCCTGAAAGCTCCACAGCCTCCCAATGTCACAGCTCATGGCTGGCCAACCCCATTTCCCAATCTGTGTTCCCAGGGAACACCTGTGTCTTTGAGGTCATTAAGAGTTCTACAAAAATGAGTGTTCTTTGGTGGCTACATTTGGGAAAGGTTGATTAAGTGACACGGGTCTTTGCACTGTGACACTCCTGCAGGGCTTATGAATAGTGTTTCCTGGCCCAGGGAGCCCTTCCTCTTTAGGGGACAGAATTGACCCCCTCACAGGAATGTTTTGGGGAGTCCATCACCCTCCTTTCTACAACTGCATTTAATCCAGAGTAAGTGGCCTAAAGGTCACCTGGTCTGAGTCCTCAGCTGCAGTTGCCTAGTGCCCAGCAGTCACTGCTGTCGGGGGCAGCTTGGCCCATCACTGGCAGCTCTGGCTTTTAGGCAGAGTCAACATGAGTCTCCCTGTGGTTGACGCCCCTGGGTCTTGCTCTTCCCCATTTGGGGCCACAGAGAACATGCCTTGTTTCTTTTCTGTGTGCTGGCTCAGAATGAGGCCCTGTCACTCCTGGCCTTCACACCAGTGCTCCTCTGCACTCCAGCATCCCCACCATGACCACCTGGGGTATTCCCAACACAATTCTTCTGTGTCTCCCTGGGGCACTCCTGGGCCGTGCCCCGCTTCTTCCTTCCAAGCAGAGCCCCTCTGTTCCCTCTCTGATCCAGCATATCTCGTGTGGGCAAGAAACAGGTGTGTCAGTTTGACGTCATCCCCATCCTGGTGCATTTACTGAAAGACCCGGTGGAGCATGTGAGGTCTAACGCTGCTGGGGCCTTGATGTTCGCCACGGTGATCACTGAAGGTGAGGTGGTGGGGGGTGCCGCAGGGAAGGAGACCCCAACAGGCCAGCAGCCATGATGAACTTTCTGTGCTCGGGGCTGGGTATTGTCCCCCAAGCCCTACACTTTGCAAAAAACCCTCCCCTTGGCCTATCACTGATGTCCTTTCAAGGTTTGGTCCAAGGCTCAGCCCTCCCTCTTCTCCCCAGCACAGTGGCCCCTAATCAGTCACTCACAGTCGGACCTCTGTGCCTTCACACCAGTCTGTTCCCTGGGCCTGGAATTCCCACCTCCTACCCAGGCCCCTCGTGAGCTGTGATTCAGGGGTTGATTAGTTTGCCATTCATGATTCTGTTATCCTGAGGCCTAAGCAAATCTGGAGGCTTTGACTCTATGGTGTTTATTCATCATAATTATTCTTCTTAAACTGGGGGAAGGGGCAAATACAGAATTATCTCCCCGAGGGACTCTCAGCCAGTCAGGCTTTCCTCTGAGTCACACAACCCTGGGCTAACGGAAGAACCCTGGACTATTCCACACCTGGCAGTCTGGGGCATGGCACTCCCAGGACCCCTGAAAGCATCTGACTTTCCTTCTGGCCCCCACGCACCCACCAGCTTGGGGCCCTGTGCTTCCTTTGAGTTCCATGAAGGATCATCTGGGCTTGGATTTGTAATCAGCCTCCCACACCTGACCCTAATGCTGCTTGAGGCATGCAGATGGGGAGAGGTTGGGGCCTTCTTGGAGTCTGCAGTCCCTTCTTTTACTGGTGTAGTCAGGATGCTGACTGCATGGTAGTGGGGGCCCCCCATGCATGTTTATCTTGGGGCAGCCTCAGCCCATTGTCCTTCTTGGTCCAGCCTTCCTGCAGGAGTGCTTGGAGGGCCACGGAGCTCAAGACACAAGATGCTGGGACCCAGGGGGGCGAGGCCATTTATTCCCAAGCTGGCACTCCAGCTAAGGGTCCCGGAGCCCCTGCCATATGTCAGGCCCTGGGAGGCAGTGATGAAGGATGTGGAGGAGAAGTTCAGCATGGGTGGGGCACACACACGGGACAGGCCTCCTCTGGGAAGGGCTTGGGATCAACCCCAAGGACAATGGGAGTTGGCAGAGCCCAGGCTGAGAGGTTCCACCAGCAAAGGGGAGAGTCTGCTGGGCACTGCAGGAGGGTAGGGCCGGCAAGGACAGCAGGAAGGGGCAGTGAAGGGCTGTGGAGGGCATCTCCAGGGAACCATGTGTGTTTTGTGCAGAGTAGGTATATAAGAAATATTGGCAACATAAATGAACTATTGGGTTTCCTTTTTTTAAGAGTCAGAGTCTCATTGTGTCACTCAGGTTGGAGTGCAATGTCATGATCACTGTAGCCTCCAACTCCCAGGCTCTAATGATCCTCCCACCTCAACCTCCTGAGTAGCTGAGACTATAGGCACCTGTCACCACATCCGGCTAATTTTTAAATTTTTACAGAGATGAAATCTCATTATGTTGCCCAGGCTGCATTTGAACTCCTGGGCAGGAACAAGGGTGGATGGAGAGGAGCCAGTTGGGGCTGGAAAGGCAGGAGATGAAGGGGCCAGGCCCAGGCTGGACTCAGTGAGGGTGCAAGAGCCCTGAGGGTGAGAGCATGTTGGTGGGGCATAAACCAGGCATAAATCCCTTGAGACTGCACAAGGAGGAGGGTCAGGAGAATGATAGGGTGAGACAGGGTGAGAAGAGGGCCTCTTGGGCTGTTAGGAATGCCCTGTGTTGGTGGTCTGCAGGGAAGTATGCGGCCCTGGAGGCAGAAGCCATTGGCCCGCTTCTGGAGCTGCTGCACTCCCCCATGACCGTAGCGCGCCTGAATGCCACCAAGGCCCTCACCATGCTGGCGGAGGCTCCCGAGGGCCGCAAGGTCCTGCAGGTGTACGTGCCCACCTTCCGTGCCATGGAGGTGGAGCCTCACGAAAAGCCTCACATGGCTGAAGCCTTACAGCGGGCGGCCCGGATTGCTGTCAGTGTCATCGAGTTCAAACCCTGAGCCCCTCATCTGCCTCTGTGTGTGAATAAATGCACTCATTCTCTTTATCTGGTATCCAAATGGCACTTCCTGTTCCTGGAGCGCAGTCACATCTTCTCTCATTCTCTTGCCAAAGGGGAAATGCCAGGCCCAGAAGCACTGGGTCCTGGGTGGCACAGGCTGAACTCAGTGCTGGGGACGGGTGGCAGGTGGCCTTGGAGTTGTGCTTTCTGCTGGGGCCGAGAGTCCCCCGAGAAGGTAGAGAGCAGGGCTGAGCCCTCCAGGGACAAGGCTCGGGGCAGGGACTTCGGCTGGGGGAAGGAGGGAACCCAGATGCACCAGCCACCACCCAGGTTTCCGAAGATGGAGTAACTGACCCCTGGGATGTGGCTGGGTGTGGCCCTGCTCAGCCAGGTCTGCCCCTTCCCCGCCCTGGGTGATGGGAAGGAAGGTGATAGGAGAAACCCGATGCAGGTTCTTCATGGAAAGGGTGACTCAGTCATAAGAGGCTCCCCCAGGAATGAGTGCTCAGGACAGGGGTAGGTTCTGGTTTTCTCGTTAAGATCTTACCCCAAACAGCTGCATTCTTCTCCAAAGCAAGGAAGTCACCCAAGCAGCCTCCAGGCTGGCCTGAAGCCCATGCCACCCAGATCCCCTCTCCCTTGGGTGTATGTGGCCCTCAGGGCAGCCCTCTGGTGAGCCTTCTGCCTATGCCTTCATCTGTGTTCTTCCCTGCAGTGAAGGTGACAAGGAGGCTGGGGGCTTAGGCAAGGACAGAAAGGTGGGCTGAAAGGAGGAGAAGGGAGAAGCCCAGCTGCAGGGGCTCTGGGGTGCAGGGCTGAAGCTGGGGAATGACCAGGAGAAGCTCCTTAATCTCCCCCTACTCCTCTATGCATGGTCTGGTGAGGCAATGGTTCTCCTCATTTGTGGAGAGAAGCAGCCTGTCCTGGCCTCTGTTGGAGGAGCTGCTGTAGCAAAACTCAGCTTCGGGGTTGGTCTCTTTTGTCTCGGGTTGAGCTAGAGCCTTACTCTTTCCCCAGGAGCTTTCTGAGGCTCCCTGTCTCGAAGGTTTCCCTCATTCATATCACCCCTTGACAGTCATATTTCCTGTGATGTGCCCACTCCTCCCAGAATAAACCTTACAGCAAAACCAGAATCTCAAAGGGAACCCCTTCTTACAGTCCTTTCAATGAGCCCCAGGGGCCCTCACCTTTACCAGAAGAAACACAGATAAATTTATTGTCCCTGGAATCACAGGATGAATCCAAGTAGGGCGTCTTGTTGTGGAAGCTGGGCCCAGCTGGAGTTTCAGGTTCATCCCCATTCTCAAAAAAGGCGCTTCTAAAAGGGCTGGGTGCAGTGGCTCGTTCCTGTAATCCCAGCACTTTGGGAGGCTGAGGCGGGCAGATCACTCGAGGCCAGGAGTTCAACACCAGCTTGGCCAATGTGACAAAACCCCATCTCTACTAAAAATACAAAAATTAGCTGGATGTGGTGGCGCATGCCTGTGTTCCCAGCTACTTGGGAGACTGAGGCATGAGAATCACTTGAACCCAGGAGACAGACGTTGCAGTAAGCTAAGATCATGCCACTGCGCTCCAGCCTGGGTGACAGAGTGAGACTCTGTCTCAAACTAAAACTTTTAAAAAGGTCCCCTAAAAGGAAACCTTTTCTCCTTCAAAAAACAGAGGCCTGAGAGGCTCCATTTCCTCAGGTCCCAGTCCTGCCTTAACACACAGCAGGCTGGCTCTACCCCTACCACAGGCTCTGGCTAAGATCACCAAAATCCCTGCCACAAGATCCTGTGTTCTTGGTCTCCTCTGTAGAACCTTCTTTCTTTACATGCCCAGTGGTGCTGATGCTTCTCATGCCTCTGTTCTAGGCCCTCTCTTCTCCCACTTACCCTGCACAATCTCATCCGCCTGGCTTTGAGGCTCCTCTACCAGGTTCTCTTCTGGGCTAGGCTTACTCTCTCTCCCCCGTCTCCCCCAGATCTGGGTCTCCAGCCACAGCCTCTTTCCTGAGTTCTGGATTCTTATGTCCAACTTAATATCTACCTTAAATGTCTCCCGGCAAAAATTAATACCAATCTTTCACAAACTGTTACAAAAAATAGAAAAGGGAATATCTCCCAATTCATTCTATGAGTGTAATACCCTGATACCAAAACCAAAGATATCAATTGGGCATGGTGGCTCATGCCTGTCATCCCAGTGTCTCGACAAAAAATACAAAAATTAGCCTGGTGTAGAGGTGCGTACCTGTAGTCCCAGCTACTTGGGAGGCTGAGGCAGAAGAATCACCTGAGCATGGGAGGTCAAGGCTTCAGTGACCTGAGGCCATACCACTGCACTCCAGCCAAACAAAAACCACTTAAAGATATCACAAGAAAAGAAAACTGCAGACCAATGTTTGTTATGATTATAGAGACAAAAACACAACAAAATATTAGTAAAACAAATCCAGCAATATATAAAAAGCATTTACTATACAGCACGACCAACCGGGATTTACCCCAGGAATGCAAGGTTGGTTTAGCATATGAAAATCAATCAACATAATATAACATATAGATAGAATAAAGGACAAAATTCACGTGGTCATCTTAATAGAGGCAAAAAAAAGCATTCCACAAAGTTTAACACCTATTCATGATGAAAAACAAACTCTCAGTAAACTAGGAATAAAGGGTAGTTTCCTCAACATGATAAAGAACACCTGCAAAAATTCAGCTGACATTATATTCATAGCAAAACCTGATTGTTCTCCCACAATATCAAAAACAAGACACCTCTATTCAGCATTGTACTGGAGGTTCTAGTTAGGCAGTTAGGCAAAATTAAGAGCATATAGCTTGGAAAGAAGTAAGGGCAAACTCTCTCTATTCACAAATTACATGATTTTGTATGTGAAAATTCCCAAGGAAGTACACTTAAAAATGATTAGAACTAATGAACAAGTTCAACATGGTTGCAGGATACAAGATCAATATACAAAATTATTACATAATTTTGTATAAGAAAACTCCTAAGGAAGTACACTTAAAAATGATTGTAACTAATGAACAAGTTCAACATGGTTGCATGATACAAGATCTGTATACAAAAATTAATTACCTGATTTTGTATAAGAAAACTCCCAAGGAAGTGCACTTAAAAATTATTAGAACTAATGAACAAGTTCAACATGGTTGCAGGGTACAAGATCAATGTCCAAAAATGTATATTAATTGTATCAATATACAATATACAAAAAAATTTATTTAAAAAATACATGGCCGGGCGTGGTGGCTCACGCTTGTAATCCCAGCACTTTGGGAGGCCGAGGCGGGTGGATCACAAGGTCAAGAGATCGAGACCATCCTGGTCAACATGGTGAAACCCCGTCTCTACCAAAACTACAAAAAATTAGCTGGGCATGGTGGCGTGTGCCTGTAATACCAGCTACTC